GGATGAATAAGTGGATGTTACTATAAGCAGCTAAGTTTGTAGTAATTTCTTGCACACCAGTAGAAAAGTAACACAGGCATTTAATAGTCTAATACTGGTAGTGACAGTTGGTAGACAGCTTTCTGTTGTGTAGTCATTTTGGGACCCAGGTGCAGCTCTGCCATCACCTAAGGACTGGACTCCTCTACTTCTGGCCATTTGGAAGAAGAAAGAGATGTTGGAGAGAGCACACTATATCCATTTCTGGAAAATCCAGCTTGGATACATCAAACATCACCTGCACACACATTTCATTGACAAGAACTAGTTACATGGCTACACTTGGGTGCAAGGGATCCTAGGATATATAACCCTGACTGAGCAGCTTCCTTCCAGAAAATTCATATTATAGAAGGGGGCTAAACATTTCTGTCCCAGTCAGGTTTTCATATGTTTGGATATTAAGGCAGTTATGTGTCTCATTCCAAGTAGAACAAAAAAAATGTGATGATATTATATATTCTAATGTGAGATACATAAAGAAGTAGAGCAACCCTTGTTTTAGGAAAAAAAGAATGTGCTTTAATGACACAGTCATTATCAGAGAGATTACCAGGTATGACAATACACTTGGAAGAGGATCTGGGCTGTCTCCCTGCCTAGAGATGCTCCCATGTATAACCAACTCCTTCCCTTCTGCCTTCCAGCTGAGACTGCAAGAGGTTACTCCTTCCTCACCTACCAAGAGGAGATGCACTTGCATGAGGTCCAGGCACTGCCAGCCCTGTGTGCAGATGCAGGGCAGTGTGGCCTTTCTCCTCCTCTGGTCTGGATCCCCAACAAAGTCTAGCATGCCAGGCAGCCCCACTGCCTCATTCTCAAATTCTCGCTTATAAAAAAATGCAGCCATCCCCACCCTCGGGACAGCAACACTTGTTCTCTTTGTGACAAGATTGACTGTCTGAGAAGTGTTTCTTCCATGGATTTGAGCATTAAAGTATCATATTCAGCCACTGCAGTGGGAGCCCAAGCAGCCTCTTGCTTGGGAACAATTAAGTTTTGTGAAGTAGTCTATAGGGATTCAATGAAAGAATGAATATAACTCACTATATGTGACTGGTTTTGTTTTGTTTTGTTTCCAAGGTAAGTTTAGTTAGTAAAATTTTGAACTTCTCAGGTTGATAAGGAAGGAAATCCATTTTACACTAGCCTTAAGAAATGTTCAAGATAGAATATAGGCTGGGCGCAGTGGCTGTAATCCTAGCACTCTGGGAGGCCGAGGCCGGAGGATCGCTTGAGGTCAGGAGTTCGAGCCTAGCCTGAGCAAGAAAGAGACCCCATCTCCACTAAAAATAGAAAGAAATTAGCCTAACAACTAAAAATTTATAGAAAAAAATTAGCTGGGCATCGTGGTGCATGCCCAGCTACCTGGGAGGCTGAGGCAGGAGGGTCGCCTAAGCCTAGGAGTTTGAGGTTGCTGTGAGCTAGGGTGGTGACATCATGACACTCTAGCCTGTGCAAAAGAATGAGACACTGTCTCAAAAAAAAAACAAAAAAACAAAAAAACGGAACATAGAATGTGATCTTCTACATAGTCGCTGCTGTCGTTGCTCTGCCTTGCTTTATTTGTATCACAAAATTCCAGACAAAAGGAAGCTATAAGAACTTTAAGTTTGCAGTAAGGAAGACATTCTTATGTTCCAGAAATCAACAGGGAGGGGGATAGTGAAGAAAAATAGGGAGAAGAACTGCTGAGAAGACCAAAAAAGGAAAAATGAATTCCTAAGGAAGGCTAGTAATTCTCAGGAGGCATGACATTGTCCATGAACTGGAACATTCCAAATGCTGCAGTGACAGCCATTGCTTCATCCTCTCCTCAGCAAGAGGTCTTATCTAAATCTGTTCAGAGTTTATTATTTTTCAGTGACATATTCCTCTTTCCTCCCTGCCTCCCTGTCTCTCTGTCCCCCTCACTTTCTTCCTCTGTCTTCCCTTCCTTCTTTCTTTTCTCCTTCCTTTTATTCTCCTCTACCTTCCTTAATTTTCTCTCTTCCTCCCTCTCTCTCTCATTTCCTCTCTCCTTCTCTCTCTGGGTTAGGTGCTGTTTCTCATGCTTTGGAGATTATAATACCACAACTTACGGGCTCTGTTATTAACCCCATGTTAAATAACTGACACAAAAGACTGAAAGGTGGCTTGAGAAGGGTAAATAACTCTTCCAAGCCGACTCAGAGGCAGAATTGGAATTATTGAAGGCTTCTGATCATGTCATCCCTCTATTCAAATGCCTTCCCTGATTTCCTGTTGCTGGAATAAATAAATAAATAAATGGAATCAAACTTTGATTCTATTAACATGGTAGGTAGCCCTCTACAGCAAATGGTCCCAACCTATTCCCCCAAACTCCAGCCACTTTCCTGCAGAGCCTGAATAGCATCAGCAGAATACTCGCTCTTTCTTAAACACAATGGATCCCTCTTGTAAGTCTAGGACACGTGCTTGTTACATAACACACTGCTTACTTTATCATATCCTTCCTTGCCTAAAACTCGTACTCATCCTTCAAAACCCAGACTACCTCTTCTATGAAGCTTCTCTGGACACTCACAGGCTGAACTAGCTGAACTAGTTATTCATGTGACCCACATACCATAACTTCAGTAGTATGGTTTTAGAAATATATATATATATATATGTATATATATATATACTGATTAAATAGATGTTTCATGGGAAAATCTAACTTTACAGAATTTAGAATTAAAATCTAGCTTTATAAAATATAGAATTTGGAATTGTCTTTCAGTTTTTCTAAATCAGGAGCTCTGCTAGTGGCTTAAACATGCCTCAATATAGGAAAATGTGACATACATGTACTTGTATTATGTAAAGTAAAAGTAAAGTTTTTTTTTTCTCTCACTGACTCTCATTTTCTCTCCTTCACACATGCACACACATACACTGGATATGGCAAGCTAGTCCATGAATATCTTTAGTTTTTTTTTTTTCATGTAACAACTTTGGGATAAAAAATCTTCTTTTTCCTCCATAGTTAATTCATATTTATGAAGATAAGTGTTCTATTTATAAAATTAATATAAATTTAGTTTAACGGACCATGGTACAAGAATAGTCAGAATTTTTCTACTTTTGTCCAACATTAAATCACATAGTTTTATATTTATATATGTACATATATATATGATCCTCATCAAGTATTTCATACAGTTGTATATATGTTGATCCTTACTCATTTCTGACCGTTTTTAAGGCTTTGTAAATTCAAGCATATTTTTTTGGAAAATGTTATTAGACTGTCAAATATTTTCTTAAAATAATGTATATATGCACACACATATGTATGTATGTGTTGCATGTGTATGGATATTTATTCACTGTATGTATAGTCCATTACACCATATATATATATATATAATACAGAGAGAAAAAAATTCATATTTATATACACTATATATATAGTTCACATATATATAGACTACATGTCTACTGTATCTTACTATTTATATGTGGTATCTTCATCCTTTGAGGCCAGCTAATGACTTTCAGATAATGAGACTGAATGGTACATCTGGGCCAAAGACCGTTAATGAAGCTACCAAACTGCAAATGCTCTTAGCTAGTGAGCACTCTGTCATGCAATCCTGAGTTGATTGTGTTCTACAAATTGTGTTGTTTACTCTGTTGGGCTCTCTCCTGTCATTTATTTTGTACTCCGGTGAACAATTTTGAGTTATAATGACTGACAAATTGTGCAAGAGAGATAGTGCTGGATCTATCATAAAGAAACAAAGAAAGAGAGTTAAGGTAGAAGTTAAAATGTACATTTTACTAGGGCTCAAAGTTTTTTTTTCAAGGAAATGGAAATTATGTTAAAGATTAGCAGACCATGAGGGGCTGAATCAAATCTTTTGCCATTATTAGGATATTATAAGCATCCCTTCAACCTGGGAGAATTGCCCTGGTCTAGTCAGGTATGTCAAGACTGAAGGGATTTTAAGAGAAGTATAATTTGCTGCTGTGCCCCCAAAGGGATTTTTGTTAAAATGATCCCTTAAAATGTTGGTCCATCAAGTGCTCCTGGGTTGCCATTCTCGGATTCCTCCCTTCTCCCCCTGATGCTCTCCAGTTAAATAGGGTGTGCTTGTATGTTGCTCTGTATTCATCTAACTTGTTTATCTCATATTTATTTCAAATTAAGACATGCTAGATTTACTTTTGATGTTTTTTCTTGTGAAAAAGATAATCATAGTTTTCTTTTTCATTTGAAACATTTTTTCTTAAGACAATCATAGAACCAGTAGCTGTGCATTAGATTCAGAATATTTTGGGACAGTGAGGATCACCAAGAGTTTGAAAAGCCCCCCAGGTGATTCTAATGCACAACCAGGGTTGAGAATCACCATTCAGTAGAAGATATACATCTACTGATTACCTAAAGAGTTGACATTTCACTTGGAACACTTACATGAAAAGCTTTCCCAGATGGACCAGTTGTTGTACACTATTCCCCTTCCCCCAAGTGAGAATTACTTTTCAAATGAATTCAAATGATGTTATCTGGTAATTTGGCCCAAAATTTTCAAGTGGGAGAGGTATCCTATGAAGAGTGTGGGTTTGGACACTCATTCAGAGAATAAATATTTATTGAGCATGCATGGAATTACTTTCCCTGCACCAACTCTTTCCTTTCCTTTGAATGTTGAATGAAGATTGCTTTTTTTGGGAGACTAAAGGTGATCTGCCTAAATCCAGTATAGGTCTGTATTTGATAAGGAAGTGATGGGGTGAGGATCCAGGCAACTCTGCCTCTTTAAAGAAATAAGGAAGTTTAGGAATAATAATCCAGCTTCATTGTGCTGCAGCAGGTGTTGCACACAGGTAATTTTATTAATGATTAACACAGTCTGGATTGACAAAATTGAAACCAAACACTTGTGTGAAGCTTCTGCACTAATTTCTATTCCAAAGTTATATAGAAAATGTTTTGTTTTTCTCCATAGGTTCGAACCAGTGTCCTACCTGAACATAAAGATCCCCCACCAGAAGTCGGGGTAAGTGTTTCATATGTTTGCAAAAGGCACACGCATTGCTTCTAAGTTAATCCTTTGGATTTTCTCTGGCCTCCTGCCTGGTAGCTGACAAGTGAAATTGAGTTAAATTAACAGGGTGTGACTATTTGAGGAGGCACTGTCATGTATTTTCTGAGTTGCATAGAATTCATTCCTTGTCTCCTGAAAAATCATCCTCCAATAAATTCATATCTAGTTCAGCTTGGTAGAGAGGAGCCTAGACATTACCCTGCAGGTAGCTGAATTATAATTCAGAGCCAACATTCCTGGACCAACAGGAGGCTAGGGAAATTACAGACGTGATCTCTACCGCTTCAGGAAAGGGGAAGAGAACCAGCCATAGAACTGTGATGTCTTCTGCTTCCTGCCGCTTAAATACTGTAACAAAGGTCAAAAGAGAAGCTGCCACCACTGTTCAGGCCATTGGTGGAAAATCCTTCTGGGGTTTTCCTGCTGCATCTGAACATCACATCTCCAGCCTTCAGAAAGTGGAAGAAGAGCAAGAGGTGCTTTCTGCTTAGACAAGGCTAGAGTAGGTGGTGGCAGCTCCTAAATGATATAGCTCAGCAGGCTGAATCCCTGCGATCTGTGTGTTCAGAGAGGTGGGAAAAGTCTGGAAGTAAATTGGGACTGAGAAGCTCTGGGGCTGAGCCAACTGAAAGTGCTATTTGAAATATCCCTGAAAGCCTACAGGGCACTTGACAACCTTCTTCCAGTTAGTGTGCAGAGCCCGGCACTAGGTACTGCTCATTTTCTCATTGACAGCAGCCACTTCCCAACCCCGCAGAGGGAGTGCTCCAAAAATAGGCACCAAAGTGTGTGTTGAGTCAATAGAGCAGGGGTTATCTCTGTGTTTGGTGGTGCAGAAGATGGAGAAGCGTAGTGTGCGCATGCTCCTCATGCCCAACACAAACTTCCTGTCTCTTCCTGGGGACCTGTGAAGTTACTGCTTTGATACAAGTGAACCTTTACACTTTGTTTTCTGCCTGACTCCTGTTGTGCCGCTGTCACTTCCTCCACCAGTCTCTGTGCTCAGGATCGACAGGCCTTCAGAGGGCTCAGCAGGTCCTGAGGGTCCAGCCTCAGGCCTGCACAGACACAGGCGTGAGCACTCTCTTGGCCTGGGCTGCTGCTCCCCGCTGGCTCCCTCCCCTGCTCAGGGCTTGCTGCTGACCTCCCCGCTTCTTCCACCTCATGCACCCCTGCAAACTAGAGTCTCATCTGCCAGGGTACGCTCTCATCACACCCTTTATGCTGCCTCATGCAATGCTGAGACCCTTTAAAATGTGTTTAATTAATTAAATGGCTAATATGTTATTTTACTAAGCTGTTCCATTTATCTGTTGAGGTTCAAGAAGGATGAGCTGGTTTAAGTTTTTCTCCTCTAAGTTCCATTCTCCCAACTACTCTTGTGTTGAATCCCCTTTGCCTGAAGCTTTAATGATATCCTGGCCTGTGTAAATCTCTCCTTAAAAAAAAAAAAAGAAAGAAAGAAAGAAAACTCACAGGTTCTTGGGAATCTATCTTACTCATTTTAACCCTTGGGTCTCTTCAATTTTATTTTCTGTCACCTCTTCCTCCCACCATTTCCCACTACTGGCTAGACTTTCTGTGACTCTAGCAACGTGCAGTGGGGGGGAAGCATGATCTGAGTCCCACGCGTGTCCTGCCGTTTCCTCTTCTTGTCACTCAGCTGCTGTGGCGAGGAGGACGGAGAGGCAGACCGAGGTGCATTCTGTGTTTGCCCACAGAGAGAGGCTGAGGTTTCCTTTCTGCTGGGTTTGATGCTTGTTAGGCTCAGGCCGCCTACCAGAGTGTTGTGTGTGGCACATGCAGGAAATGTTGGCTCTCTTGTGGGCACACGTGTAGATATTTCTGGGGGGCTTGTCAGGTCCTCCCCCAAGGCATATTTCCCTATGATGGGGGGTCTGGCTCTGAGCCAACCTCCTCCACTGCCCACCTGCACCCTACACGCTGGTGCTGTGAAATCCACTGTTCAAGCACATGACTCCAGCCACTTTCTGTGCTGTCTCCTTGTTGCATGTGAAACTCACATGTATTGCCATGCCATATGGACGAAATGCAGGCTGCTGCACCGTGTGTGCTTCCTCTCTCAGCTCAGCCATGACTCTGCTGACCCTTTCTACAAGCCCCAGCAACCTCAGGTACCAGAGAGCAATCACTGGTTTTCAGAAAAGAGGCAATCGTCAGCCCCCGGTGGAGGGAAAGATGGTTTGGACACTTCTAAGCTTTATAAGTGAGTCTTTGGTAACTGACCCCTTGGCTTTGGCTTCGACTTTGGCTTTGGGGACAAAGGTGTCTTCCTGGGGGATGATTAAGAGAGAGTTAGTATACCACCCAGAATGCTGACCTCGCCTCTCTTCTAGCCTTACCTTTATATTAACCGGGTGGGGTGTGTTATGATTATTTATGTGCCAGCATCTCTCAACTGGCCCCTCATTACGCTTCATAGGGAGGTTGCTGGCTCCAAACACTGGAAGTTCTTTGAATTCATAATGGGGTAAATTTGGTATATTGTGTCCTTATCTTGGTAAAGACTCACCTATAATTCCTAGATCAAAAGAGAAGTCTCAGTTGACATCCCATGATATGCATATTGTAGCAATCAGGAACGCATTTCGAGGCAAGTAACCTAGCAAACTGTGGCTTAAATGTAATTAAGAAGTTTTTCTTTTTTTTCATGTTATAAGAAGTCCTGGGAAAATTGTTCAGGGTTGAAGCTACTCAAAAATGACTTCAAGCAACCAGACTCTATCCATCTTCCTGTTCCTCCTTTCTTAGAGTATTGCACAGTCTGGCCATTGCATCTCTAGGTATCACATTCCAGGTCAAATGAAGAGTAAAGGGCAAGAAGCTCAGAACAGCTGACCTGTTCCTTCAATTCTGAAAAACAATAACTTTTTGGGAAATCTTGGTATACTGCCACTCACATGTCACTGGGAAGAGCTGAGCCTCTAGCTAGAGGGGATTCCCCATTTAAACAAAATCAAGGTGTTATTAGCAATGAAAATTGGGCAGAATGAATATTTGGTAGGCAATTAGCAATATCTCCACATTCCTGCTAGATGTTACACTCCATCATAGCCAAGTCCCTGCTTATTTCATTCACTCTAATATTCCTAGCTGTGCCTGGAAATTACCATATATGTGATATATGTTTTGAATGAATCAAGAAGCATGCCATGATTTTGTCTTGCCAATTGTCTTATATTTTTTTAGAACCACCAGAAAAATGTAACTGAAGTCTAGAAATGATTATATTAATACAATAATAATATAGTAAAAATCTAGCACATTTTATGATGCATCAGAACTCAATAAAATGGCAAATGTGACTTCAGAACTAAATTTCAACTGTAGTATGAATGAGTCTAAAAGGGAACAAGTCAGCATGGCTTGGCTTCCTAACATCCTCAGATTATATGTTATTTTTGATAGGCAAAAGTTAACACATCTTGAGCACCTATGAAGTACCACTGGTTAATATATATACTATTAGTAAATCCTCAAAATATTTCTTTGGACACTGCAAAATAGGTCTGAGAGTTTAAGCTCTTGGCCAAGGATAGAGAGCTAGTAATGACTCTATCATAACAACATGCTAAGGACTCTAGTCTTTAAGTACTCTAATTTAAAAAAAAAAAAAGGAGCTGAAATATTTTTTATTGTGAATTTTTCAACTATGTTACATGTGTTTCTATACATTCTTAAACAGCATTTACTGGATACATTCAAATATATTCTTGATGACATAGTATTTATGTGCTCTTAGACCTTTTGAGCAACATTCAGAGTAAAGATATAATTTTATAAGAATGACTTTTCCTTAAAGTGCTTTTTAATGTTTTCTTGGGCTATTCATCAGCTTTTCATAGATTTCTTCACAATTATTTTTTTTTCTTTTTGTTGTCATTTTTAATGTTGATAGTTTATGGATTCTCTTTCTTTTCCTATGGAGTGGGAAACAATGTAACCATATCTGTTATGGTTGACTATGTAAAAAGGCCTGCCTATAAGTTATGTCTAATGAGATGTTGGGTATCAGACTTGTGATACCAACTTCAGCTCTCCAAAGACCTTCTGAAATTTCCATCATAGTTAATATATATAGTTTTATGAGAATGGGTCCAAATATTATTCACATATTCATTTAACCTCTAAAACAGCTGTGTCCAATAAAAATATAACGTGTGCCACAAACTACATGCCACATATATAATTTTAAATTTTCTAGTAGTCATGTTTTTTAAAAAAAGTAAAAAGAAACAGGTTAAATTAATTTTGATATATTTTATTTAACCTAATATATGCAGAATATTATTCTAAAATATAACTAATACAGAAATATTAATGATATATTTCATATTCCTTTATTCATACTCTCTTCTAAATTCAGTGTGTATTTTACATTTAGAGTACAGGTCATCTTGCAATAGGCACATTTTGTGTGCTCAAGTTAGTGGCTACTCATTGGAAAGTACAGCTCTGAACAGTAGTGGAAAAATTTGAGGTCCACGCAAATTGTAGTATAAAGGAAACCTATGTTTTGAATAAAAGCTTTGTGAGATGAACATAAGTGATGATGGAGGTTTGGCCAATTTGTGGCAATGTTATGGGGTTGTACCTCCTCCAACTCCCTTAGTGGTGATCAGGAAGCCACCGAGGACTGCTACATGAAGGTGACAACCCCTGGTGAGCAGTCTGGGTATCTGTGACTTGCTCAGAGCCCCTGCAGGGGCTGGCAGAATAAACTGTTTGTGTATACGCTCCCTGTAGAGAGAGGCCAGGGATTACGACAGACGCCCCACTTTTCCCCACTCTGTTTGCTATTACTCTCCAGCCAGGTGAGTGATTGAAATCGTGCATCAAGCAATTTAATGATCATCTGCTTTGGGGTTCTTGCACCAGAATAATAACCATGAGTGTTCCCTTGTCATGAGCAGGCAAGAAAGGTTAGAGCTGCATGTTGTGCAGGCAGAGAAGCTGTCAGAAGGAACGAATTGCCACCTGTCCTGGAAATGAGGCACAGCGTGGTGGGGATGAAAGAACGCTGGACAGAGAAGCAAGAAATCTGGGCTCTAATTTGGCTTCTGCATACTAACTAGTTCTGTGACATGTGTAATCCACCTTACTCTCAGAGGCCCCAATTCCTTCATCTACAGATTAGCAATGCTTTCACAATCCTTAAGCTTCTTTCGGCATTCCACATGATCTAATACAAGTTTGTGCTATAAGGAACCATAGGTAACATTTTATCAATAATAACAACTATATAGGACTTTAAAGCTTTTATATCTTTTTAACTATTTTATTTAGAATTTCTTCTAATTTGTATTTTCCCTAAATCTAATTTTTATTTTTAAACAATTTTTTTTTTGTATTGCTGGCATTTCTCATAGACTTCTTCATCATCATCTTCTTTTTTTAATACTTTGCCTTTTCCGAAGAGTATTTAATCTGGATATCAGATACATTTAAGGATATGACTTCTGAGTATATCACCTTAATCACTATGCAAGCTAATATTTATGCCACAACTTCCTGTTTTCCTGGCAGTATGCTAGATGCTTTGCCTGGATTACTTTAATTCTTATAACAGTAAATATGAGAAAGCTACAGTAATCATATGTAATTTTTTTTTCAGGCAGAAACTAAGACCTAGATTAGTGGAGTGACTTTTCCAAGAGTATAGACTTCATAAGAGAGAAGACAGGGAAACAAGAGCTGACAAGGCCTATCAGTGAGGAGTGGGCTCAGGGGCTGGGAAATTGTCTAGATTTCCATTTTGGGGCAGAATAATTCAGGACCACACTCAGACCTCTGAGCTCCAATTCTATTGAGGCTCCACTTTTTTGTTTGTATTTATTTCCCCCGATAGAAACAGCACCAGAGAAGATATGGACACTTTGCCCCTGGAATTATATTTGAAATACAAAAAAATAAAATTTAAAGAAGTTCTTTTAAATTCTCTGGTTATGATTACAGTGATAGCAAAGATAAAATAGATGTATATTAAGGTATTCTTTTACATTAGCGTCATGTGCTATAGAGAAGACTGTTTTCCAATTCATTCTGTTACACTGTGTGCAGTGCATATCCACATAGATAGCTAATTTGCTTTCTAACTTCAGAGGTTGGAGGATCCTATTTTAACTTATACTGAGGTAAACAAATAAAAACCTGCTAGAAAGTAAACATATAGGAAATTCCATTGTTTGGTATTGCAGCGTAAAACAAATATAGATTGTCTTTAAATGTTTGGATTTTGTTAATGCACTTTATGCAACATGTAGTCTCCATGTACAGTTATTTTTAGAACAAATAAGATGACATTTATACCTAAATAGCACCACTTCTGCTTTGACAAGATTTTATAATGTAATGCTTTGGTGCCATTACCAAAATTGATTTTCAACTGATGGTATTATTTCTGTAAGTGCTCTCATTATCCTTTGAGATCAAGCATGTGGCTGACAGTCGCGAAGGCAAAGCCTGACTCATGGGCACTGTTCTTGGCGCACTGCAGGCACTCACAGAGGAGAGCCCATGCCAGACACTGGGCTTGGCCAGCAGATGGACAAGCCAAGGTCCTGCTTCCACAGGACTTCCTGCTCTGGCGGACAGGAGAAGCATTCATAGCTTGTGGTCATGAATTTTACTTGCAGCTGTGCCTTATGATGTGTCTGTAGCTTATGTCTGAAAATAGCGACTCCACCTGTCTCTGGTTGCCGCAGTCTAGTCTAGGGTGTTTGCTGCTTTTATTGATGAAAAGACTGCAATAATCTCATGACATTGTAGTTTGTTTTATCAATTCTAAAATCATCCACATCTAAAAATATCTCAAAAGGCAAATAGAAAATAATTTGGAATTTTAGGGCATCGTGAAATTTATGATTGGTTAAGAGGCTTTTTTTTTGGGGGGGTGCGAGTAATGAGTGAGGGATGGGAATTTAAATTAAAAACCCTGATTATCAGTGAAAGGGAAAGTGAGATAGCTCTTTAAAATATAAAGTGCTAAATTGAAATTCACTACAACAATATACAATCTGCACACCGTAAAATTGTTTTGATTTTCTACATTTCAGTGAATTAGAATAGTTTATAAATTAACTGCAGAAAGGGCACTTTTCTTATATCTATAATAATAGAATAACTGAGTTGAAAGCTAGTGTCTATATCTTTCATTCATTCATTGTCAGTCTATATTTATCACTCGCCTACTGTGTGCTAGCCAGTGGAGGGCATCAAAAAGCAAAATAAAGGGAGCTTCAATTCTCTATCATTCTTTTTAAAGGGCTACAAAACAATTAAATATAAAATATATCAGGTGCTAAGTGCCAGTGGAGAAAAATAATAAAATAGGGTAAGGAATAGAGAATAATAGAATGTCTATGTGGGAAAGGAGTAGTCTTTTATAGAGGGATGTTCAGAGGCATCTCTAATGAGGTGACGTAAGTGCTTTTGCTCAGTGGATTCTCTCCCAGGCTCTCTCTGTCCCTTGCTAAAAAGTCACCTTAATTTCTGTGTGCCCTATTTATACGGCTCCTGAATTTCCTTCTCTGCTTTGATCCACTCTCACTTCATCACTCATGGATTATAGCATCAGAGCTTGTTTTCACACATCCCCTGTTTTTGTCTAATGTTCTTCACCTAATCATTTAATCTCAGATTTTTGGGCTTTGGTGACTTCGGTGTCTAAACTAGCTCTTGGAGTTTCAGGTTGATTTGGGGGTTGTCATTAGTAACATATAAGCATTTCCATCTTTAGAAGAGTTGTATTTTCAAATGTTTGACTTCAACCTTCCAGAACCAGCTCTTCTAAATCAGAGTTTTGAAAAGAGGGAGAAAAATTCTGACCTGAAGCTTTTTTCCCCCTATGCCCAACAATCACTCAGTGTGGAACAATTTCAATTTACTCTTAAAAAGATTCAATTGACCCAGGCTCCTTAAGTCCAGCCCCTCATCCTAGTGCAGCCCAGCAGCAGACCTGTGATAAGAGAATGTTCTGGAAGAAGTTGCATTGACTTTTTGTAGAGTATTACATTGTGTTAGACAGCAGTGGCCTAGGTAATAATAGGGGTTTGATATTTTCATGTTTACTCCTTGACCTTAAGAGAAGAATGAAAAATCCTATTTATGTTATTTATACCATAATATTGTGACTTTCAGATCAGAAGTAGCCAGGGATATTAAAAAGAGATGAAAGAATTTTTTTTTTATCCTGGAAAAGAAAAAAAAAACAAAACAATTTGGTGTTTTATTCTTTACACTGAGTCAAAAAAAAAGTAGAAAGAAGATATTCATACTCAACACCCAGTATAATAGGCTAAAAAAGCAATTTTAGAAAATGTAACTGAATAAGTACCATTCATTTTTGTGTATTGGAATGAAATTGCCCCATGCTAGTAAAGAAATAACAAAGGAAACAAATGCTTTTAAATGTTGCTGTGATGGGGGAGAAATATAGCATTTCTATTTATAACTTGTACAGAGTCCCACATAAAAATAGCTCTAACTAACAGATTTGCTCATATCTGGAATACAAATTGTGGCTGCCAGTGATTTGAGGAATTCTGATAAGAAAAACGACAGCATTGGTAAATATCGAAAGTTTATCATCTTTTCTTTTACTTCAGTTTTCATATGTGGAGAAAGTTATAGTTAGTGGCAAAGTCCTGGCTGTTGGCATTTTACATCTTGTTATTTTCTAGACTATAATTCGCTTTGTTTTTAACGAGCATGATACATTTTCTCTTCTCAACCCTACCCCAGGAGGTGGATGTATTACTGAGAATTGTATCTCTGTCAGTGAAATATTTGTCAGGCTAATAGATTTAATATTTCATTTTTCAACAAAAGTATTAAGATCCTCAGAAAGTTAATGAAAACTGTTCTTTTTTCTCTCATTTTCAGAGAAGCTTCCTGGGTTATGCCAGTTTTAAAGTGGGGGAGCTACTGAAGTCAAAGGAGCAACTGCTGGCCCTGAGCCTGAGGTGGGTCTCTTGGTTTGCAGAAGCTGTTAAAGTTAATAAGCCATGATATTTATTGATGGCCAGGGTGTTTGAAAGTCACAATTCTTGCAGATGTTAGACGTCAACTCTCAAATAGCTTATGTTCTCCATTGCAACAAGTTATAGTGAAACAGCAATTATTCAAGTTCACATTCAAGTTCAGGTTTCAGCTTATAAAATGTTATTACTTTTTGTAGGAAAAACAATATTCCATTATCATCAAAGTGATGAAATTCTTTGAAAGTAAGAAAGGAGATATGAATTATGATCATGCTATTAAATAATTTTTCTTTTACTTATCAAAATACTTTTTAAATCAAGTAAGTTTCTAGGTTGGAAATATGTTAGAGACAATATTGTAGCTTTATGATGATAGAAAGTAAGGAGCTTATTCTTTTTTCAGCCTATTTTGTTGTTATACTCTTAAACATAAAAAACTTATAAGTTAAAACAGACTCACTGAAATAGACAGTAGTAGATCACAGCTAATTCTGAGATGAGTACAATTAATTTTGATGTGGTGATGAAACAACAATATTTAGGATGTTGCATAGTATTTTAATACTGAAAAGGGTATTAAATGGGATAAATATTTGTTTTTAAATTCATAATAAATTTGAAAATAATATTCTGCTGTTTTCTGTATAACTTACATAATTATATATACATAGGGAATACTACTTTGACATATTTGTATAGTATGAATGGATATAAAAATTATATAGAACACGATTTGTAAATATTAAGAAGCTCTCGTTTTGATGAAATGTAGAGTCCACTTTCGGGAAGCCAGTGTCTCCAGTTTTTTCGTATAGTTTCCCTCCAAGGACCCACTTACAGCCACCAATTTATTTCAGTAAAGATGCTGTGGTTTATGCTGGAATTTGTACTCCTAGCCTTCTCTTTTTCTGATTTTTCCTGATCCTCACAGCTCTGCATTTGATTTGATAGTACAGGATAATTTAATATAAGCAACACTCCAAGCAGAGAAATGAATGCTGGTGGTTTCTAAAGAGGCTGCCTTCTCCTCTGCAGCTTTGTTTAGTTCGTGCCTCTTAAACATCTGGTGATGGTGTTGATGCATTTTGTTTGGGAAAACATATAAAAATCTTTAGAGTTTTGTGATGTTATTCCCAATAAAAATTTTGCTGCCTTTATTATTTTCAGTTTGAAGCGTAAAAGGGCCAGCTGGAAAGGCTGACTAGCAATGTCACTGAAACCCCAGAAGATATCATCATTCCAGCATGACCCATTGGATCTGACCTACACGGCCTGGATTCATGATATGAGATGTCAAACATTGAACTTACTTAAGGCTCTGGCAGTGCACATGTTTTTTAGGTCAGATGCATATAGCACTTTCCTCCTCATCTTGCTGACTCACAAACCACAGTATCGATTATATCATAATGGTCATTAACATCAGCAGTATATTACACAGTGGTACAACATTTATACCCTGGTTTGAAACAGAAATCAGAGGACCAGAACGTTTTAATGAACTGAAAATTAGTAAACACACAGAATACCATAGAAAGAGTATAAAAACAGAGAAGGGTCAAGCTTAAGAGTATTACCGTTGGAAGAAAAAAGGAATATATAAATTTCTCATTTAGATGACAGCAAGACAAATTTCTACTTTTAATTTTAATACCCTTGATTCCTATTCATTTGACCTTGATTGTATAAAAGGAGAAAAAAATTAATAAAATATTTGAATTTTTTCAAAAAATAATTTTAGAAAACAGTTTTGAAATAGCTAGGTTATGATTTCTCCCCCTTTTGTGCTTGGCGAAATGTGTGGTCTTCTCTGCCTATGAACCAGACAGATAATAGATTTATCATAGCCTTTTGATTTCTGGTACATGTTGTTTTTTATTTCTGATGTAATTTATCTTCCTTCCACTGACTGTCTCTGAGGTATTGAGTTGGAAGAACATTAGGTCAGGGGTAAGAAGCATTTTTGTTTTATTTTGTTTTGTTTAATATTTCTATGCACTGATTATTTTTGACTTTTTTGCCTATTATATTCTAGTTGTTAATTTTAAAGCAATTTCATTTTCAGATTTCTGTAAAACAAATTAACAGGAAAAAAAGATCATATTCATAGGCACCATTCTTTGATGGAGAAGTTCCTTTTCTTCATGGTGTGTTTTAGCTTCCCCCAAATCTTATGATTCTGCTTGTGCTCACTGCCCCTTTGGGGGCTTCTTAGCAGATGATTCCAGTTTTAAACTCTCAAACTGGTGCCACAGAACACCATGGTTCAATGTGGCTTCTGTGTCGTATGTGCTTTGAACTGGAGATCAAGTGCATGAGATGTTTTTTTCCTACAGAAAATTTAAACGGGCAAGAAGTGCACATCTAATTTATAGATGCAGGCTCAAATTCCCAATTTATGATGATGACTTCCTTATATTTTTGTGGATGCTAAATGTAAACCTGCTAGCAAGAATTTATTTCTGGATGGAATCAATCTGAAGTAGTAAATATGACATCATGTGTTTTTGAAGATGTAAAATTTGTTTGCATATGTTGAGGAAAATGCATCCAATATATTAAGTGGTTTCTACTCATAATATAAACTCATTGAAATGCCTGGTTTCCCATGTTTATGAGTGTTCTAGCATCCTAAATGGATTAGGTATCTTTATTTAGTATTAACCTCTTTACCTTTATATTATATCCACTTTGTTTTCCCACATTACCTTTGGTAGTTCCTAACTCCTCTGACTTTTTTTTTAAGACTGAGTGGGTCTGTAGAAACCTCTGACTTATTTTATATCTCAATTATATTTTCTGTTTTTGTTCTCTAACTCATTGCTGTATAATCCTGACTTCCATACTATAGTATAAACAAGGCAGAGATCTTATAGAGTATTGCAATTTTAGCCATGAAAGATACTGGGTAATTTTAGCATAATGATAATAATGATAAGAAGAAGAAGATGAGGAAGAGGCAGAAAAAGAAGAAACCACTATGTGCTTTATGCTTTAAGTATATTAGAGATGTCTCATTGGCCCTTATCAAATTAGCTTATGATATTGATATTATTTTATCCATTTCATAAACCAAGAAACAGAGGTATTGAAAGTAGCAGTTAAATAACTTGTGCAAAGATATAATGCTCTTAAATGGGAAAGGCAAGGTGTGAAGCCACCCCACATTTTTTACTGCAAAGCCCATGATTTTTAATGATCCACATCTTGTCTCCTTCAAGAAAGGAGAAAACTGAGAGCCAGTTGAAACATATGCTCCATGTCATGTAATTTACTAATGGCAGAGCAAAGCCAGGACTCAGGTCCAGGACCACTTGTTCACAGTTTCTTTCATGTTTGATCTCAATACAGTGCCTGGTCTTACTATAGTAGATCATGCCTAAATGACTGTTAACATGCCATGGAGAACTCGGGAATGTTAATCATTAGGAGAGAAGGTGGGAAACAGCCTATTAGTTTAAGGGGGATAAGAGACAGAAAGAAACCTACGGAGTCTGTTTTCACCTCAGAGTCATAATGTTATCAGCACCTAGTCCTGGCTTGCTGCCCAAGCACCTGGCAGTATTTGCTCTATCAACCTGACATGAATCTCTTGGAACCATATAAGCAGAACTTTGGAACATTGTAATACTATCTTATGACTTAATGATTTAATAACAGAATGGAAAAGTGAGATCTGTCTCTGGGAATGGTGCTAGCAGTCAGGAGAAAAAAAATTGCATTGCTCTTAAAGTATTTAAACAACTGCAAATGTAAAACGACAACAGCAACAAGAAGCAACAAAAAAAACAATAAAACTTCTTTCCTAGGAGATCCTTCTCAGAGGGACAGAGACGAATGGAAGTGTTTCAATCTTGTCTAGGCTTTGCTGCATGCCCCCTCACAGTGTAAGGGCTCATTCAGTTCTCATTCATTGAGCAAGTATTTGCTAAGAATTTTCCCTATGCTGAGTACAGGTGTAGGGTCTTCAGAAAATTTAAAAAATGACAGCAGAATTAATATTTTGCAGTTGATGTTACTAATAACATATTTAATGAAAAATCTCCTTATTTATTGTGCATCTACAAGAATGCAAGGACTATGTTAGGCACCTTGTATATATTATCTTATTTAATCCATGCAGCATGATCATCTCTGTTTTATAGCAACTTGAGTGGGATCTTACAGCTGGTAATTGCACAAGAAGGATTAGAACTCAGTTTGGTCTGACTCCAAAGCCTGTTCTGTTTTTATTCTACTACCTAGTAGACAGCTCAAGAGGTTATAAAATCTTTACTTCCGTCTCTGTTTTATAGTCTACCCTTTGGAGAGTTTTAGGGGTCTCAGTTATTATTTCTTTATGTTTTACTTTAACATTCAATTTTATATGCCTGCAACATAGTAGAGGTTCAAGAATTATTTGTTGGGATTTTGACTCACCACGATGGATTCCTTATATTTTTATGGATACTAAATGTAAACCTGGTACCAAGAATTTATTTCTGGGTGGAATCATCTAAATAGGTAAATATAATGCAGCGTAAGCATTAAAATATATTTGAGACAAGTAACTTTCAGAACAATGGTGAGTTATAGGTTTTCTGCTTGAAAAGCTGAAAATCTTATTTAGAATTCACAATTATTTCAGTACAAGCCATTTTACCTTGAGCCTTTACCTTGGCATAGAAACTTTCAGTTCCTCTTAACAAGTACTTTATTATTTCTTTTGTGTCCTTCTACACTTAAACACCCCAATTAAGTAAACACTTATATAATTTTGCCAGGATTGGATATAAAACGTTTTCTCAAAAACAGATATATAAGCATTTATTCATACAAAGAGAATTTGTTTTCTTTCCATTTATTATTTATGCCACATTTGCAATAGTGCTTTTATGGAACAAACAACAGAAGACACTTATTGACCTTAAATGGACACATGCTGTTATGTTTTCTAATATACGGATGTATGGGAAAAGCTATGAAAGAAAAAACATTCAACT